CGAAAAGTCCGAGGGGCCTCACGGCCTGATCCCGGGCTGGGCAGGCTGGGCCCTCCTGGGGGCCGCCTTTGCCAGCACCCAGCGGCGCCGCCTCCTTGTTCCAGGCTCATCCTCCATCCTCAGCGCCAGCAGCGCAGTCTGACTCGGAGCCTCCAGCCTCCTCTTCCAAGGGTTCGTTGCACCTCAGGGTCGTCCATCCCACCTGCAGAGGCTCTTCGGCCTAGATGGACAGACCCACGGGTGCCGGGGTTGGGGGGCCTGCCAGGAGGAGGGACCTTGCGGGCAGGGCAGGAAACGGGCTCTCTGCTTCACCACCCACGGCCAGGCAGGTTTGCGGGAGGGTCTCCTGGCAGGGACTGCTCTGGGCGCCCAGCAGCACAGGTCAGTGTGTCCTGCACAGTGTCTCGGCGGGCGTCGGGGTGTTTCCTGGGTTTTAGAATAAGCAGAGGCGCCACTAACGCCGAACATGCAGGTGCCACTGCGTGCAGAGCCAGCGGCCGAGTGTGTCCCTCCCTCCACCCAGCGCAGTGTGGCTTCCCTTCACTCCTCTGCTGTCGGGGCTTGTGATTCTTGGCGCCTCGAGTCCCTTTGTCGGTGGGCAGGGCGTTCAGGGTGCATTAAGGCAGGATCTGTTCGCGGCCCAGAAGGCCCCGCCCCTGGGCCCAGGTTCTGTTAGAATCTGGCTTCTGTCTGTTGTAGAGACTTGCCACACATGGGCGCCTTCGCCCAGTCTTTGTTTCCCGTGGAGCCCCTGGCTATGGGGGCCTTCCTCAGCGCGGTATCTGCGGGCAGGTGCTGCGGGTTCTGAGTGCAGTGTCACAAGGCTGACCCCTGGAAGCCCAGCCTGTGCGTGCTTCTGATGGCCGGGGTCTAAGGTGACAAACATCCACAGGCTTCAGGAGTTAGGACGGAGACATCTTTGGGACTGGCTGCTGCCGACCAGAGGGCATCAGACCTATGAACTTTTTCCGTAGAGATGCAAAGCTTCCATTCAGTAGAATTTCTAGACTTTTTGTTTTTGAGACACAGTTTCAATCTGCAGTCCAGGCTGGAGTGCAGTGGTACAATCACGGCTCACTGCAGCCTCCAACTACTGGACTCAGGCGATCCTCCCACCTCAGCCTCCCAAGTAGCTGGGACTATAGGCGCTACCTAACCCAGCTACTTTTTTGGTTTTTTGGTAGCTGCAGGGTCTCACTATGCTGCCCAGGATGGCCTTGTACTCCTGGGCTCAGGCAGCCCTCCCACCTCAGCCACCCAAAAGCGCTGGGGTGATTGGCATGAGCTACCGTGCCCAGCATTGTCTAAGCTTCTGGGACAAAATACTTGAACGTGGTATGTTACCCCTTTCCCTAAACTGCCGCCTTTGTTTGCTCGTGTCTTTTTTTTTTTTTGAGGTGGAGTCTCACTCTGTCGCCCACACTGGAGTTCAGTGGCCGCTTCCGGCCACCGCAGCCTCGACCTGCTGGGCTCCGGCGATCCTCCCTCCTCAGCCTTCTAGAGTAGCTGGAACTACAGGCGCGCGCTACCATGCCTGGCTAATTTTTGATTTATTTTAGATACGAGGGCTTGCCAAGTCCCCCGGGTGAGTCTCGAACTCGTGGGCTCAGGCAGTCCTTTCGCCTCGGCCTCCCAAAGGGCTGGGATGACAGGCTGAGCCACTGAACCCAGCCCCTGCTTGTGTCTCATTTAGGACTTCTGCACCTTCAGTCCATGAGTGAGTCTCTGATTGCATTTTGTTGGCATTGGGTCTGCCGGTCTCCTAGGATGTGCCCCAGGGCCATGTAAATAACAGCATCACATGTCCCCTGTCTTCCTGTCTCCCGGGAAGGCCGTTCAGGTTGGTCCGGCCTAGTGAAAGTGTGCTTGAAGCTGATTGCAGTCCCAGCGATTGCTTGAGGCCAGGAGTTCCCAGCCAGGCCAGCCTTAGAGTGGGATCCCATCCCGGCATCTGCGCTATCCTGCTCTCCACCCCAGTTCGTGATGTTTCTCAAATGTTGCGTGTCCTTGAGACACGTGATTCTTTTTTCTTTTTTACACCGGTGGGATCACATCCCCGATGTCTTCCTCTTCAGGCTTGTGTGCATGCCTTGAGGGTGGCCCCTCAGCTGGGGGTGTCCTCTGCCCACCAGTCCTGCTCGGCCTCAGACACTTGTGTGACATCGGCTGCCGCAGGGCTGGTTGGCCCGGGCCGTTCCCAAAGGAGGAGGCGTCAGGAAGGAGCCCGCGGTGCACGCTCGTGGGGCAGGGCAGCACCCACAGCACACGGCTGCCAGTGGGGGAGGTCCCTCGCATGTCCCCTGCCAGGGCCCAGCCCTGCCCCTGTCCCGACCCAGAATTCTGACCGTAGGCACTCCACACCCATGTGGCCACAGGTCTCCACTCTGTTCTGGTGGGTGTGTGCCTTCCGTGGTCACGCTGGGTGGGCTTGGAGCTGCCGGCTGGCCCCTTCGGCTGCCCCGCCGTGACGCAGCCGCGAGCCCCCCTCGCCCCTCCGTCTCCCTCAGCTTCAGCTAGGCAGGGCCGGGCTGAGCCAGCCGTGTGACCTGTGCCAAGCTGGCCACCCAGTGCCTCGGGGGACACCTGTGTGTGTGGGTCCCTGGCTCCTGCAGCTGCTCATAGCTGTCCCCTCTCCCTTCAGGCCTGGGCTATGACCCCTGCAACCCCGAGTTGCCCAAGCCCCCCGCGCAGAGGGAGAATGGCGCCTTGGGGCTGGGGGACGAGCCGCGCTCGGACGCGCAGGAGCTGGAGCTGGTCAACCAGGCCATCGAGGCTGTGCGCAGCGAGGTGGAACAGGAGCAGCGGCGCTACCGGGAGCTGCTGGAGAC